GTACCTGCAAAATTTGGCTTCATGCTTCTTTGTCTGAAAGCGTTCTGCCCTATGCTGTTGGTTGCCCCACTGCTAGAGACCTATGGCTCACTCTAGAAAAAAGGTTTGCCAACCTCACACGCTCTCATGTCCTCCAACTTAAATCACGTCTTCAGACTCTTAAGAAAGGCTCTGCCTCCATGCTTGACTATCTCCAATCCCTCAAACACATTGCTGATAGTCTTGCTGCTGCTGGTGCTCCTTTGGACACCTCTGACTTTCTTGCTCATGCTCTCTCTGGTTTGCCCTCTGATTACGATGCCTTTGCCACCTCTATCCGAGTTCGCTCTGACCCCATTCAACCAGAAGAACTTCATGGTCTCCTCCTCAGTGAGGAAATTGCTGTTGAAAATCGCCTGACTCACATCCCTCCCTCTGATTCCCACCTCCATGCCTTTCATGCCTCTCAATCCTCTGCCTCTTCCGCTCCCTCTCCTCATGCTCTCAACACATCTTCTCAGTCCTCTCGCTCTTTCCCTCGTTCCCACTCTTCTTTCTCTTCCTCTCGGCCAAACAACTTCACCCCTCGACCCACACACTACAACTCCAACTTTTCTCGCAAACCAAAATGCCAAATATGCTCCAAACTTGGCCACTCTGCCCTCACATGCCGCCAACGCCTAAATATGGCTTTTCAAGGACCTACACCACCATCTTCCCTTACTCAAAACACCACCCCCTCCATCCTTGGCCCCTACAACCCATCTGCCTCTTTCACCTCTTTCGCTCCTCCCTCAACCTCTACCACCACTTGGTATGCCGACTCTGGTGCCACAAATCATATCACCAACAATCTTGCAAATCTCTCCCTTCCTTCTCCTTATCAAGGTAATGAAAGTATCACTGTGGCAAATGGTCAACACATGCCTATCTCTCACACTGGTAACTCTACTCTTTTTTCCTCTACCTCTTCTTTTAAATTTAATGACATTCTTCATACTGCAAATCTCTCACACAACCTTCTCTCTGTCCATCAGTTTGTTACTGATAACAATTGCCACATTATATTCACTCCTTCTTCTTGTATTGTCAAGGACAACAACACGGGGACAACTCTCTATCAAGGCCCTACTGAAGGACATCTCTACCCCATCAAGCTTTCAACTTCTCCATTTCCTCTCACATGTTTCAGCAGTCAAGTATCTTCCACTTTATGGCACCAACGCCTTGGCCATCCCAACAATCAAGTCCTTATGCAGCTCATCTCTAGCAAACAACTTCCAACCACACCTACATCTGCCACTTTATCCTTTTGTTCCTCTTGTCAATTAGGAAAAAGATCAAAGCTTCCTTTCTCTAAATCATCATGTACTACATATTCTCCTTTGGAATTAATACATTCTGATTTATGGGGACCCTCTCCAGCAGCTTCATTTTCTGGCTTCAAATACTATATTATTTTTATTGATGATTGGTCCCGTTTCTCATGGCTGTATCCACTTCACAATAAGTCAGATGCACTCCATGCCTTTAAAATTTTTAAAACCTATGTCGAAAACCTGCTTGACAAGAAAATAAAAACCCTTCAATGTGATAATGGTGGTGAATACACAAGCTCAGCATTCAAAACCTTTCTTTCTACTCATGGCATATTTCAACGATTTTCTTGTCCCCATACACCCGAGCAAAATGGTTTGGCTGAAAGAAAACACCGCCACATTTTAGAACTTACTAGGACTTTACTTGCTCAGTCTTATTTACCTTTACAATTTTGGGTTGAAGCTGTACAAACCTCGGTATATCTCATCAATAGAATACCGTCTTCTGTCCTTCACAAAATTTCCCCTCTTCAAAAACTATTTCATAGCAAACCTGATTATTCATTCATGCGTGTCTATGGATGCGCATGTTATCCTTGGCTAAAACCATATGCCCCTCACAAATTGGCTTTTCGAAGTCAACCATGTGTCTTTATAGGCTATGGTATAACCCACAAAGGATACAGATGTTACAATCCAGTCACTGGTAGAGTCTACATTTCTAGACATGTCATTTTTGATGAAAGTTCATTTCCCTTTCACAACAACTTTCCCCTGCCTCAATCATTCTCTAATCCTACGGTTTCCAGCACTCCAACCTTACTTCCTCTACCCACCTTTTCACAACCATCACCTCCTTCTCCTCCACCCTCTAACCCTTTTCCCTTATCACATACTTCACCCCCATCTTCCCCCCCTTCCTCCTTGCACTCTTCTCCAGCTCATAATTCTCCAACCATTCCTTCCTCATCTCTACCTATCAATTCCTCACCCACTTCTCCATCCACAGACCCTTCATCTATCCCACCAAATCTGTCTATCCCTATTCATAT